AGTCCTGTCCCGCCAGGGTGCCCAGGTGGGGCCCAAGCTCTGAGAGGCTCCCGGCGCTCGGTCCCCAGACTAGGAGGTCCCGGAGGCCAGCGCCTGGGGCGGCGCCTCCTGTTCCTCACTTCGGGGACCTTGTGTCCCTTCCGGGCTCTTCTGTTCTCTCGGTCTTGGAGCTCTGAGTCCCGCCCCCTCCAGCCCCTCCCAGCACTGAGCCCCAGGAAGTTTCAATTTCACCGGAGAAGCAGGGTGCAAATGACGGTCGACCAGAGGGGCCTCTGAACAGGATAGTTGGCCAGCCAGGTCCCCACCACGAGCCCGGGAGCCAGGACGCTCCCTCGCACTCTTGCCAGAGTTGTTAACTTCGCAGTGTCCCCAAGGAAATAAGCTCTTGGAGTCTGTGGAGGGACGGAAAGTGGGAAGGGAAGCAGTTCAGCCCAGGGTGTGACATGAACCGGGCTGAACTGGCTGGCAAGAATGAGCCCAGAGGTTCCAGACCCCATCAGGTCACTTGGTTTTGGGGAGTGGTCAGGAGGTGGGGGAGGCTCAGGCCAGATTGAGTCCCATCCCCAACTCTCTCCCCAAACCACTCTGGCACTGCTGTATCCCATCAGCAAACAGGCTCCAAGGGGAGCCTATGCCCATAGCATAGCTTTCAGGAACTGGAAGCTGAACCGTATCCAGTGCTGGGTGTAGAATGAGTGGCAGGGGTTCAGCCTACAGCTCCCTTAAGGGATCCTTTGCAAGAAAACAAAATGGGAGGGAAGCCAGGGCCACTTTACTCCTTGGGTTGCGGGGGTTATCCCTGCCCCCTTCTGTCTTTGGTCCACACAAGCCATTAAAACTCCTCAGCTGCAGCAGCTTTCAGACGCAGAGCACTGAAGAACCCTCAGCTACCCTCACCGTGAAGGTGGCCAGGACGGCAAGCGACCTTATAGCACCACAGGACCCACTGCGCAGCTTGAGGCTGGGCCATGTTCACCTGACTCAGGCCAGGGTTCAACCTCCCCTCATCCCCAGAAGAAAAGAGAGGAAACAGGTGCTTCAGCTGTTGTTTATTGACATACAGGTAGGCTCTATAGCAACAGGCCTGGAGGCAGCTGCAGTGGTGGGGAACGTGGAAGTGGAGGGGGGAGTGTTTGTCTGCAGCGACAGCTGAGTGGAGTGCGGGAACGGGAGGGACAACGCACAAGGTGGGGAGGCCGAGCGGGTTGGGGAAGCAAGTAAGGCCAGGGCCAGAATCTGCTTCAACTGGAACCACTGTCCCATGCCCCAAGACCCTACTCTTGCTGGCTGTCTCCAGAACCCAAGCCAGGACCGGGAGTTCTCTGGGAATCCGTTTTCTACAGGAACTGAACAGAGTACACAAAGGAGAGGGAGCTGGAGCCCTCTGGCCACAGGCTCTGGGGACCTCCAGTCCTGCTTCCGCCCCTATCCCATGCCTGGGTGGGACCCACACAATGGGCCAGGCTCTGGGCCATCCCACCTGAGCAGGGTCTACAACAGCCATGTTTCACAGAGACGTTCCTCTTCTTCCCTGGTGTCCCAGCCCACCAAGTGCCACACTACAGCCCACAGTGAGCTCTACAAGCGCTGCTGGCCTAATGGATGGGTTGGGGGAGGGGAGCGGGATAGGGGCTGGAGGGGCTCCAGGGTCTATCACGGCACAGGCACTACACGCATGGTGTTGGTGAAGCCAGAGCCAGGGCGCCACCCGGTCAGCACAATGACCACATCTCCCTTCTTGAAGAAGCCTCGGGCCTTGCCTGGAGAAAAAGAAAAGAGGTCTGTGAGTGAAGGCCAAGCTGGGCAGGCAGGCACTTGGCCAGTAGCTGGTCATTACTTCCCCAGACCACAAGGTGGCGCCTGCCTCACAGCCAGGCAAAGGGGAGGAGGGAAGCGGAGATTTCCTCATCACTCAGATGGCAGAGTTGGCAGGGACCTTTGGACACGGCTCACTTTACCATCTAGAGGGTGGAGAGCCTCGTCCAAGGTCAGCGCTAGCTGCTTCCTCTCATCCCATGACATTCCACCTTCTTCAGGAACAGAGGCCACATCAGCACAGAAATATGTGTGTGCCGCTCTGCGAAGGAGTTCTAGCCAATTTTATTAAAAAGCAAGCAAAATCCTCAGTAATGGGCAGATGCTAAAGAATGGACAATTCTTCTTTGGGCCCTGACTAGAAGAGAATGAGGAGGGGGGCTGAGCCGAGAGGATTCAGAGAGAACATTCCCAGCAGGGGAGAGAAGCCGTGGGCTGGGCTTCTTCTCCCTAGAGTATGTACGTCCCTTTCTATTCCCTGAACTTTCAGGGTCCCAGAAAGGCCAGTGCTCAAGTGCTGCCCCCTCCCCCCAGGGTCTCATTCCCAGCCACATACCGACATTCATGGCAAAGTTCACCCGGAGGTCCACATCCTCAGCCCAGGCCTCCTGGACTGGGTCCTTGCACAGCACAGGGAAGATGCCACGGTACAGGTGGGCCTGGCGAGCTGTCTGGGGATTCCGTGTCACAGCAATGATGGGGGCGCGTGGGCGGTATCTGGACACCTGGTGAGCAGACCTGAGATGGACAGGGGGACAGGCAGAAGAGACCATCACACAGGGTCCATGAGCCTTCCAGGAAGCACCGGGGCCTTCAGCAACAGTTCACCCTCTGACCTGGTTCCCTAGGCCACTGCAACGTCTGCTCCCCAGGACCTCTGAGGTCAGGAGCCGCCTTGGCTGGGGTGCCCACCCTTTTGCATCTTCCACAGATGCTTTGCTGTCATTTCCCCCACCTCTTCCCACAGACCAGGGCCCAGCACAGCCAGTCTCACCCGCTCACCCCACAGGGCCCATGGTTGGCAGAAGTCCTCCCACACCCTGAACTCTGACACAGAGGGCGCCCTGGCCCAACCTCGCCAGCACCCATTCCTCTTGCTGCCAGTGATGGCTACAAGCCATGCAGCAGGTGAACAGCACCTGACCCTCGACATCTGAACAGTAAAAGAGCCGACCAGCCTCCTGGGAACCAATGACACCAGACTTCCTCTGTTGTACCCTCTCCCCATCCAGCATGGCCCCCAGGTCCCTGAAACCGTCCCAGCATCTGAGCATCTGAGAGAGGCTTCGAAATCTAGGTGCTACCCAGGAGGCAGATCAGGAGACCTCCCGTGGTGGAAGCAGCTCTGTCAAGGCTCCTCTGAAGGGACCTCTTGAAGATCCCTCTGCCAGGTGCCTCCTTGACCCTGACATTGCACATGTGTAGCTGCAGATGAGTCTCAGGCAAACTGGGTCCCAGAAGGTGAGCTGTGAGGACACTCAACAGGTGTCAGAGAAACTTAAGTCACGTCACAGCAGAGCGTACTCTGTGCCTCGGGCCTGGCCTTCATACAAGGTCCCAGAGAGAAGCAGCTGCTGAAGCAGGACCAGCTGAGTGAAATCCCAGAAGACCAGAGCTTAAAAATAGCAGACCTTTTCACAAAGGTCAACCCTCACAGCCGGAGCTGTTTAGCCAACAGCGGAAGGCAAAAGCCCTCTACTGAGGGCATCTCACAGGGCCTGTCCTGGTCCTACAGCAGCCCCCCTGCTGCCCCTCTCTTCCGAGATACCCTCATTGCCCTGTGGGCAGGGATGAGGAGCACTCTCTCAGACTAAGAGTGAACTCAATGTCCCAGGCAGGGAAGGATTCCCAAAATGGAGGCCACATATAAGCTGGGCAGTCTTCGGTCTGGCCTGGCAGCCCCACAGAATACACAATGACCTCTCCTGGGCCAGAACTCACTTGTCTTTAGGGCTCAAAGACAGATGGGGGTCAGTGTACCAAATGGGGTCACAGTGAACAGCATTAATTTCCCAAATTGAATTAGAAAAACTTTTTTATTGAGTTGGAGTCTCACTCTGTCGCCCAGACTGGAGTGTAGTAGCTATTCCTGGCCACTACAGCCTCAACCTATTGGGCTCCGGTGATTCTTCCGCCTCAGCCTTCCAAGTAGCAGGAACTACAGGCGCGCACTACCATGCCCGGCTAATTTTTTTATTTTTATTGTAGAGATGAGGTCTCACTCAGTTGCCCAGGCGGGTCTCAAACCTGCGGGCTCAGGCAATCCACTCACCTCAGGCTCCCAAAGCACAGGATTACAGGCTGAGCCACCAAGCCCAGCTAGAAGAACTTTTTAAGAGATAAGGTCTCACTGTGTCAGCCAGGCTAACATGCAGGTAGCATGATCATAGCTCATTGCAGTCTCGACCTCCTGGGCTCAAGTGATCCTCCTGCTTCAGCCTTCTGAGTAGCTGGGACTACAGGGCGTGCCACCATGGCTGGCTAATTTTATATTTGTTCTGTAGATACTGGGTTTTGCAATGCTGCCCAGGCTGTTCTTGAACTCCTGGTCTTAAGACATCCTCTAGTCTTGGTCTCCCAAAGTGCCAAGATTACAGGTGCAAGGCACTGTACTAGGCCCCAGACTGAATTCTTATTTATTTTTGAGTTGGAGTCTTACTCTGTTGCCCAGGCTGGAGTGCATTAGCATGCTCACAGCCACCGCAGCCTCAACCTGCTGGGCCCCAGGTGATCCTCTGTCTTAGCCTTCCAAGTAGCTGAAACTACAGGCGCGTGCCACCACACCCAGCTAATTTTTTTATTTTTATGGTACAGAGGAGGTCTCACCAAGTTGCCCAGGCTGGTCTCAAACCCCTGGACTCAGGAAATCCTCTTCCTCAGCCTCCCAGAGTGCTGGGATTACAGGCTTGAGCCACCATGCCCAGCCCAGATTGCTTTATTTTTTTTGAGTTGGAATCTCACTCTGTTACCCAGACCGGAGTGCAGTGGCTGCTTCCGGTCACTGCAGCCTCGGCCTGCTGGGTTCGAGCAATCCTTCCGCCTCAGCCTTCCAAGTAGCTGGAACTACGGGCGCGCACTACCAAACCCAGCTTTTTTTTTTTTTTTTTTTAATAGAGATGCGGTCTCGCCAAGTTGCCCAGGTAGTTCTCAAACCCGCGGGCTCAGGCAATCCACTCACCTCAGCCTCCCAAAGCGTGGGATTACAGGCTGAGCCACCGAGCCCGGCTCAGATTGAATTCTTAAGGAGCACATAGTAACTGGGATAAGCAGAAGTGGTTGTCTTTCACTATTTTAGAGACCCAGCTCTGAAGTACCATCTAGCCACTGGTAGGCAGCAGACCTATCCAATGTCCCACAGTAAAGTGCCAGGATAAACTTGCTTTTGATCCAAACAGTCTACACGCCTTTGGAATGCTGCCGAATCCTCAGGCCCCGGGTAGGGTCTCTGCTCTTCCCCTGCAGGTCCAGGTGGCAGGCAGAGGGCTTACCTCAGCTCAGCACCACCCGACAGGGTTCAGTGCACTGCTCCCAGGACCCCCAGGGAGAGATGCCACCGAGCAGCCGTCTCCAGGGAGCCGCTGGCGCCTCCTACCTGCCAGACTTGGTGAGGACGATTATGGCCCCACTGCAGCACTTGAAGGAGGCCTCCACGGCGCCAACCGCAGCGGCTTCTGTGGGGTCGCTGGTAATGGGCGCCAGGCGGCGCAGTTCTTCAAATAACTGCAAGTGGTAGATGGCAGCCTCTGCCTCACGAGCAATCTAGGGAGCAACAGCCGTCCAGAGGGACGAGGGGGACAGAGCTTGTCAGCACTTTGTCACAAAGGGAGGGGGAGGGGGAGAGTCACCTGGACAGCTGGTGAGGAACGTGGCCCCAGGACAAAGGCCAAGAGGAGCCTAATCACTGGAGAGCCTGAGCTGACCCAAGATCAAGATTGCAGGAACCAGTCCCTCACCAGGTGCCTGTGACACCTGCTTGTGCCTACTGAGTAAGGACCCTTGGGTCTCGCCCTGTCATGACCTCTCTGGCTGTCTTCCTGCAGATGAGAAAGGAGGCTCTGTCTCAGGCCCCGGAGCAGGGCTGGGCCTGGCTGTCTTCTCCTAGAGCGGCCGGAGCAAGAGACTGGTTATCCTGTAGTGTTACCTGCTCTCGGGGCCCTACCTGCCAGACTCCGTGAGAACTATCAAAGCTGCCGCTAAACACTTATAGGAAGCCTCCACGCTGCCCATGGCCATGGCTTCCATGAGGTCTGTGGAGTGACTTGAGGCTCGCACAAGTTCTTCAAACAGCTTGCGGTGGAACATGGCTGCCTCAGCCTCACGAGCTATCTGCAAGGTTTAGGGGAAGGGGGCAAGGAAGAGGGAAGGAGGAGGAGGAGAAAACAGACACAACACATGGAAGACAGAACGGGGAATTAATCAGAGAGGAAAGTCACTTAGGTTAATTGGCTAAATCTGTCCTTGAGGCAGACACAGAGGCAGGTGGTAGAAGTCCAAGTGCCTTGGGAGGTGCCACCAGCGCCAATATAAGGGAAATCAACTCTTTTCCATTCTAGATGTTTCTTGACCAGGGGTGGAGGGAGAAAATATGGCAGCAGGCTCTAGTAGCCCAGGCTGGGCCCACACGACTCCCTGGCAGAGGACTTGGCCACGCTACCTCATGACACAGCTTACAGGCAGGGAGCAGGCCCTCCCTCCTCACATGGCTGTCTGGTGGCAGCAGGGCCCCCTTGGAGTGAGCGCTGCTTGGCTTCAGATGCAGGAATACTGAATCTTTCCAGTAGCCTGCCATGGAAGTGGACTGGCAGTGCTGGAAAGCTGGGTTCAAAGCCAAAGCTACATAGCATTACAGGGTTCGACGCAGGCGAATGGACAGCTTTGGCTAACGTGTAAAAAGCACACTGAACAGCCATGTGAAGAGGCAGGTGCCCGCGGGCGCATGCAGACACATTTAATAAGACATTTGATTACAATCTAAAGATTAAGACAGTTATGAGAAAGCCACTGAGTTATTTACAGACCATCTGCTCTGGTAAGACCAAGAATGAGAAAGGAAACTTAAGCTTAAAGAATTACAATGCAGTCACTGGCACCGTAGGGAACAGTGGGTGAGGAGAATCAGCCGTACTACCTTATGAATTTGCCAGTAGAAGCAGATGTGTGGCAGGATGTACCAATGAAAGGCATTCTTTCTATAAGAATGGATGCATGCAGCCCAGAGGGCAGGAACAGAGTCATACCTGGTACTGCTCTTAGGTACAGGTCATTAACTGCATCAGTTAGACACAGGAGAGCAGTGAACAGTTAGGAGAAGCTGTCGGCCGGTGTTAACCAAGAACACAGAAAGCAGAGGCTTGTGCCACCGGGGAGACAGTGGCAGCCTAGCCAGACCCATAGCTTATCTGCAGTGCCATGCAGTTTGAGCTCTGCAGTGCTAAGGTGTCCGTCCATGGAAAGACCAGGGGATGGAGGCCAGGACAAGGAGTTCAGACCCTAGAGCTGGAATCTCAGCTCTGACTCCAGCACAGGCTCCAGGTAGAGACCCGTCCTCATCTCCTGCTAGACCAACACGAGGTAGGAGGGAAGACTGGCTCTGGAGTCAGCAGACTGGATTCAAACCCAGGCTTTGCTGGCCATGCAACCCTCATCAACAAACTGAAGTCATGGGAGTCATGAAGCTTACATCCAGGTACACAGGGACTCAGCAGACATTCAATAACAGCAGTAGGGAATGTTGAATCCGAGGCTATCATTACATGTATCTCATCTAATCCAATTTACCGATAGATCTAGAAAGACTAAGTGACTTACCCAAAGGCACAGAAAAGTCTCCACATTTTGTGGGGTTTCATGGCTCAGTAAATTAAGTCAAGGTCAACCCCCCCCCCCACCTCTGAGGTCACAACTAAGCAAAGGAATTAAAGAGGGGACATGTGAGGAGACCCAGAAGGGCAGCCACTCTAGGGGTGACTGGTTCAAGATGCACCATCTTCTGGGAGAGAAAAAGCATCTTCCCACCATGGGGCAGTTTGTGAGAATGTGCCAGGAACACCTAGGCATAAGACCTAGGCATAAGCACACCACAACAGGGTGATGTGTCAGCTGGGGCCAGGCCACACACGAGACCCTGGGGAAAAAAGAACTGGTCTCCATTGATTTCATTATGGGGAAAACCACCCACAGTCCAGAGACAGCCTTAGTCAAATGCAAACTCAGCCCACCACTGAAAAAGCATTTAATATAAATGACACATTTTCTCTGGAAGTTGTTTAAGCCCACTAGTAGGACACACAGTAAAAAAGGAAGATAGGCTAGCTCAGTTTTTTGTTTATTATTTTAAATTTGGAGGCTTGTGAGGGCTGGGGTCACACTAAGGGTGGGGGCGGGGG